ATTCATTGCTTTTTTGTTAAATGAAAAAATCTTTAGCTTACCTTCAATATGTCTGAAATTGGTGAATTTTTTAGCTATTAAAACAATCTATGGGCTAGAAACGAGAGAGAGATCACGTTCACAACATGTAATCCAATATGGCAGCGTGATTTAATGCCCACCTTTTTGACAAAACTACCCACAATGCCGTGCGGTTGAGCCGGAAGCTCGGAACTCTTGATGCATGTATATTAAGGTAATGTATATTTAGGAAATTCTATTCTAATGCAGAAAAGGCTGCTAGGTAAACTAAAGTATTGGATTGATAAAGTATTATTACATCTTTCTGTACAGAGCATTTTAATAATTCACACCCTGTATCATTGTCAATGCTGCAGTATGAGTATAATATAAACATTTAACTGTATAAAAGAATATATTAATAATACAAGAAACAATTGCACCATTTGAGAATCACTGCTCACATGTGACTCAGTCCAAAACACAATTGACTGATTATTGTGAAATACTACAGTCAAAAAGAAAAACATAATTCATTTCAGACCTAAAAGCATTCCAGCAGAATGACATCATGGTGATCTTACTAGAATTAACAGTGTAGCTCAGGACTTGTTCTGCAAATGACACCGACTGGGAGAAAGTGCTCATAAATAACTCAAGTGTTGCACAAACCTTTCTTTCCAAATAAGCCGTAAAGTGCATCAGAGAACTGAACACTGGTCAAACGGATCCAATATCGCACCAGTTTAGATGCCACAAAAACAGGATGAAAAGGGAAATAAACAGACGTGTCGCGAGCTGTGATCCAGAACTATTTCTGGATTTGGGAAGAGAGTAGCAAGTTAATGAGGAAGATGGTTTCAAATGACAGTCGAAGACATTGAATTATAAATATTCCAATGGTGTTCATTAGTGGTGAGCATCGCCTTGTGTTTGCGGATCCAATACATAGGTCATGATACGATGCAATATATTACGAAACTCAAACTGCTCCTTCTGTGGAGAGTTTTAAGTCTTGTCTGAAAACCCATTTTCATGCTCTGGCTTTTAACACAGCGCGAGTTGTATGGCCTTTTTATTTTATATATTTAGTTTTACTGATATACAGTACAGACCAAAAGTTTGGACACACTTTCTCATTCAATGAGTTTCCTTTCTTTTCATGACTATTGAGTGTAGATTCAGACCCAGGCTGTGTAAGGGCTGTTTGACCAATAAGGAGAGTGATGGGTGCTTGACCACAGAGTGAAGAAGGCCAACAATATGCTAAGCATCCTGGGAACTCCTTCAAGACTGTTGAAAGACCATTTCAGGTCACTACCTCTTGAAGCTCATCAAGAGAATGCCAAGAGTGTGTGAAGCAATAATTAGAGCAAAAGGTGCTACTTTGAAGAACCGAGAATGGGCTATAAGCACGAGGAGACGTGACGTCATTTCCTTTAAACAAAGACCGACTCGTTTACTTCCTGTCTATGCTATCGCTATGGCACTGTGGTGAGTTGTAGTGATGTTTTTTAGTACTTAGATTGATACATTCAGCTGTGAGACTGACCCAAAAGTGCGGCCGTGCTTTCTCTCAGAAGAATTGCTTTGTCTGTGGCCACTCAGAGAGATTAGTTAACTTTATAAAAGCACAATGACAGTATCCTCACAGTTTAATTCCTGTTTGAGCCTTATTTAGGAAACTCATGTAAACATCTGGTGAACTCCAGTGAAACTCAAGCCGATCCCCGCGCACCGGAAGTCTATTGTTGTTATATTTAAAACGCAGAAGTTGTGCGTGCATAGAGCCCATATAAGACATATTTTCAGTTGTTTCATAATTTTTTTTAGTATGTGCATAATTCCACATGAGTTCATTCATAATTTTGATGCCTTCAGTGTGACTCAACAGTTTTCATAATCATGAAAATAAAAAACTCTTTGAATGAGAAGGTGTGTCCAAACTTTTGGTCTGTACTGTATGTGCATTTACGTATACATATAACCATATGTGTTTGTGTTTGTAAATGCATATATTCATCCTATTTGATTTTGAATTTTCTGTTTTACTTAGTCTTTTTTTGTACAGCACTTTGGAAACTGTGTTTATAAAATGTGGATTGGATTGGATACTTCACTTTAAGTGCAGTTCTGGTAAGACTTATTTTTTATTTTTTTTTGAAAAATAATATATATAACGGTAATAATCCATCATAATTGTGCAAAATGTATATATATATTGTTGATTCAGGGTTAATAGCAAGTAGTCTACTCTGTACTCTAACTACGCGCTTGACATACAAAGACTGGGGCAGACTGACAAAAGCGAGGCCACCACTATGTGCCATTGGCCACTCTGACCACCACCAACCATTCATGTATCAGACTCTCATGTCGCTCCTAACAGATGTAATCCACCTGCTGGGGTTGAATGAGAAACGGTACAAACGCTGTGTATTACATTTTGTGTAATATTACTTATTTTTGTGCTGACTATCAATTAAACAAATATGAGGTTTTTTTTTGGGGCGACAGTAGCTCAGTTGGTAGAGCATTGGCCTTAAGGCCAGAAGGTTGTGGGTTCAATTCCCACCTCTGCACCTTCTCCATCGACTCCCACTGATGACTGCTGTCGTTGTGTCCTTGGGCAAGACACTTAACCCCACTTTGCCCAAAGCCCCCGCTGAAAGATCAAGGCTATGCTCACACTCAGAGAGCAGCCGTCCTCCTGTGGACTCACCACCTGCAGAGGGTCAGTGAGGGGCTGGTGCTATGAGACTTGGGTGGCATCCCTGATTGCCACCCCCCTGACCCAGAAATGGATTAAAGGGTAGAAAATGGATGGATGGATGGATGGAGGTTTTTTTTTTTTTTTTTTTATATTAAAGTAAAGAATAAAAAACAAGAAACTGGAAACCCAAATGAGAAACACACTCGGCTCTGATTGGATAATCTAATTGAAAATCACAATCATAAATATTGTACTTGTGACCTATTATTTGGAGTAACTAATACATTTATGTAATTTAAAATGAAAATATTACACAAAGTCCCCTTAATATCAGAACAAGAGGAATTTGCACCATTGTAATAGAATGTTTTGACGTAACTTTGTAAACTATAAACTCATTGTCATTGGATATAATTCCAACCTCTGTCACTTTTTCCCTACATATCCTGCATATTAATTCCTGGTAATAGATTTTGCAGCTGTAATGAAATCCAAATGTCTCGAAAATGGGAGCCTGCCTTTTATTAGGAGCCAGACTGTGTGATGAAATTTTCCAGTGTGAACTTTATTTGCAATGGCTCATCTTCCTCAGCGTTTGGTCTGCAGCTTCAGAGCGCGAGAGACAATAGCAGAAATCTGCCGTTTGTTTGCTCTTTCCAAATACCAACCTCACATCATCTGCTCTGCCTCCCAGTCCTTTGATTTCTATAATCTTCTCTGAGCGCGGTTCTATTCAGCTGTTTATCTAAAAGCTCATGGGACTGCAGTATTATTCAGCTTTCACGGGGGAATACCAATAAACAAAATTAATATACTTTTGATTAGAACAGCCAAAATTAATATATGTGGAGATTGTATCATGTGCGAGCTCTCTTGTTTGCAGAAACCAAAACAAATAAGAACTTGAAGGCTGTCACAAGTTTTACAGTGCGCTTGGTACACAAATGATTGAATGTGGTATTAGCCATGGGTAAGCTGACGCACAACTAACAAACAAGGCTTTGTGAAGGAAAGAGCACCTCATCCCTAAAAAGGAATCTAGGACAACAAGCTTGGCACATACTTTACAACACATGCTCACACTCAATTAGGAAACAATTATGAAATACTACAGTTTTATATCAAACTACGGTACTTACTCTTTCCATTAAAACTACTACTAAAAAAGTAATTGAGAACATACAAGTTATGACTCACAAAATTTGATTCGTAACTGGTTAAAGTATTCACATTTGCTGCGAGCCAATTGGACTAAATAGACCAAAATAAAATTAAACAAAAAACATTTAGATTTTCTTTGTTTTCCATGTTCCGTTAGCGATAATAACAAAATGGTATGAAATTTCTCTCTCTCCATTTACAATGTTCCAAAGTATAGCTTTAACGTTCCATAAACTTCCGCGGCACGGTGGCTGAGTGGATAGCACTCTTGCCTCTCAGCAAGAAGGTCCTTGGTTCGAATCCCGGCCGGACAAGGGCCTTTCTGAGTGGAGTTTGCATGTTCTCCCCGTGTCTGCGTAGGTTTCCTCCGGGTACTCCGGTTTCCCCTACCACTAAAAATATGTACAATAGGTCTGGCATGCGCCTCCTGTACTGGCGACCCCGCTCCCATCTCTGTGTGGAGTGAGAGGACAAGTGCCCAAAAAATAACAATTGTAAACCGCTTTGTGACTCTGGTCTGTGAAAGGCGGTATATAAATAAAGCTTACTTACTACTTACTTACTTTAAACATGCAGTAGATTCACCACCTCCATACAGTTAGTGTTACTATTGTTTCAAGGATATAGCTGGAGTAATGAACTTTAAAATCACAAAAAAACAACAACTATGTAATAAAATCCATAATTAGCTCCTCGCTCTCAACACTGCTTGGTTCTATCACTAGTTTCAGTACTTTTGGCCTCTGACACGTCTTTAGATCAGCTTTTTCAGACAGAAAAGTGAAAAATATAGAACCAGTCTTGCTCAACCAATCAGCTCTCAGCCCAAAATGTCAAATAGTGACAAACAGCGATCTATTTTTATTCTTTTTAAGTTAGAAATAAGATACAGGGAGCATGATGGGGTCTTGAAAAGTTGTATTTCTGTTGTAAGAAAATACATTTGAGAAAGAAATGTAAGTACCCCAGCTTTAATTGATTAGTCAAACTTCAAACCAATGCATTTGTCAATTCTGTACATTTATCTCCAAGTTGATGGAGTTTAGTGCATTTGAATAGAGGGTAAAAACTACAGTTATATGGTCTTGGTCAAATAATTCTGTAAAATCTGGAGTGTGGCACATACCTCGTCCCATTCGGAGGTGAAGGAGGGGGACTTCTCCAGCCTCTTCTTCCCAGTGCTACAGTTGGAGACGGACTCGCTCCGATTCCCCAGTCCTCCTCCGTCCTCCTCGTTCGGGGGCGACACCAGCAGATCCGAATCTGACTTGGACAGACTCCTCGCCAGCTTCAGGTCTCCGGGAGGACGCGTTCTCCCTGCACAGCCCCCCCCAGCTCCTGCATCTTTGGGTTCCTTGTTCACAGTGGCGTAAATAGCTTTGGGATCGCAGTCCGTCAGGATAGCCGCCATATTGGGTCGATTCGGCGATGATGATGATGAAGTGGAGGGAGAAGATGCTGCTACAGACACTTCCTGGTTGGGTTTGGGAGATTGGCTCTGATTGGTCGGTGCCACAGCTGGGATTCTGAATGGATCTTCTCGGATATCGAACACCGGGGATGATCCGTGGAGGAGGCCGGTGAATTGCTCCGGGAATGCTGGTCCCTGCGTTTGGCTTGGGTCTAGACGGAAAAAGAAAAAGGCACAAGAGTGAGTGAGTGTGAGGGGGGAGAAAACACAGCGGTAACGTTGTGAAAAGTGGACTTCCTCCGACTGAGGGCAGAGACTTGGAGCACAGCTAAATCCTCCCACACAAGCCTTGAAACAGATCAGTAATTGTTTCCAACCAGGAGGGAGCAGAGAGAGACCGAGGGAGAATAAGAGGATGTATGCTGACTTAAGAAATAACAAAATTCCACACACAGCTTGGAGTCAGCTATATGCTTGTGTTAGAGTGGTTCTGTGCATTGTCAAGGGCGAGAGATTTGCAAGTCAAATGGTAATAGATGGATAGATAAATTGAAATGAAAGCAATACAGATATAAAAGTATACAAAATATAGTGAAAATCATAAAGAAATGTACAAAACAAATAACAATACTCACCAATAGAAAACAAACGTATTCCACATAGATAGCAACTGTGTGAAAGTAATTTTAAAGAGTGAGAAAGTACCAAGACACCACAAAAGGTTGATATTATTGAAAGTAACTAAGACTTAGTTGATATGTTAGCGCTGGAGCAGCTAACTTTCAAACTACAAAAATGAACAAAGAAACGTCCATCTAACTTGTTCCTCGACAGAACCACCAATCAGCCAATCAGCTCTGAGCCCCAAAAATCAAATAGTGACTCACAGGGTCCTTTCTCAGAAGTATGTACAAGACAAAATGTATTCTTTATGGACAAATAAAGTTAGCGACCCGAGCTTTAACACACAAGATGTTAACAAATATTAGTGCGTTTTAAATGAGAAATGCAAGAAAAATGTATGTCTATCATTTTAGTATTTCTTTAAACTAAATTTCGTCCCACTGCTTCCCAGTGTAAAATGTGAATGACTCAGGCCAGATCCACTTACATCAGCTGTCTTGTCCAAACACAGCCTCCTCACTGAACGCCAAGCGCAATTCGGACCATTTTCCCTTCTCTTTCCCTTCCCTTTCTCAAAAAATCCTACTCACAAATCGTCGCTCTTTCCCACGGTCACCTCATTGCCCACAAACACCAAGCACAATCCCTCACTCCTCTGGTGCTCTTCAAACCTCTCCTTCGCAGAGGCGGACTGTTGTTGTTGCCTGTCGCGTGTCACTCACCCTCGTCTGTTTCTCGTTTCTAATTCTAGCCTCGTGATGGCGGCTGCGGAATGGAAATTTGAATCGGCCAATCCCCCTCGCTGCTGATAATTAGGCCTGTGACACATGGGGAGGCGACGTGTGTGTATGTGTGTGTGTGTGTAGACTGTCTAAGCAGAGGGGAATGGGTCAGGGTGTTTGGTGACAAGCACCCAGAGCAGGAAGCGAAGTGTGTGTTACGCTGTTTTGTCCTTTTAATAAAATGATCTCACTATGTCCTGTAAATACGCATGGGGGGTATTGGTATGTCTGGTAGGCCTGTCATTAAACATTTTTATATCGTGATACTCAAGAGCTTCAGTCCCTAACATTTAAGCCTCAACAAATGTAACTGCAATAAAATCAATCCATCTATTTCCTCGCTCACAAACCTGTCTGATACTATTTTCATATGCATGTTTGGAATCTGTCACCTCTTTAGATCAGACCATTAGCACAGAAAAGCGAAAAAAGAGAGGGCCGATCTCCCTCAGCCAATCAGCTCTCAGCCTAAATAGTCAAATAGTCACTCAAACAGTTCAAGTAAAAAAAGTTTTTCCAAATAAGACAGAAAGGTTTAAGTGATTCATAAATTTCTCAGCACTTATAGTATTTGCAGAATTGAGCGGAGGCAAAAAATAGCATATCATTTGAAAAGTACAAACATTTTATCAGTATTGAAGTGAACGTTTAAATACACCATAACTTTTGATTAAATTCAGTAAGTTCAGTAAGTAATCTATATAAATACAAATTACCTACTTACTTAAAGGTCCAAACACATAATGTTGGGATGAATTTACAAGAGTTTTGCATTTTAAAGAGTGTTCGCTGATATGTATGGAGCTTGTCTCTCACTGTGGGGTCTCTGTCTGTGGACCCTCTCTCAGACAATCTCTCTCCACCATGCGTCCTAGTGCGCATGTATGATTTATTTTCTGTTGTCTCTGTATTTGTAACTTTTATAGTATTATCAAATATCCACGTTTCTATCTATTTGGCTTATGCCTAATATACACTATTATGCCACAACTAAATTCTTATTATAACACATAATATACAGTTAGAAAAGGCAGGCATCTACAGTTGCCTGTGTTGGGTTTACAGTCTATGGTTGAGATAGTGTCTAACTTCAGCTATCTCCGTTCATATAAACTTTTTATCATCTACAGCAGGGGTCTCAAACCTTTTTCAATCGGAGAGCTACTTTTATACAACAGAAAAGGCAGATAGCTACTCCTTTTTGCAGTCATAATAAAAATATATGTAATAATTATGACAAAACATGGAAAACCTACTTACTACTGTATAACCCTGTATTTATATTTATAATAGATATGTAATGACTCAAAAATGAATCATTCAAGGTGTGCTGAATTCTAAATCTTTTGGAGAGCTACCTGAAAGGGGCTGGTGAGCTACAGATAGCTCAAGAGCTACAGGTTGGAGATCTACAGACTCATGGGCAGTGATAGAGTAGAGTTGTCACAATGCAAACAAAGCAATTCACTTGAACTGCACCAACAAAAGCTTAAGAATGCAAGTGTAAGCCTATAAAAGCACTATTAAAACTGAAATAGAATAAAAGTCCAAAGAAAATAGCTACACAACCCATTACACCATTACGTCGTGTAAATCATTCCGGATGACCCATGTTGTCATTGAACCCAAACGTATTTACAGCATGTTATGGAAGTGTTAGCAGCAACGCCCTGTGGTCCCAGCAGAGAAGACTGTGGAAAATGTAGTGTAGGTGTTTGTATGTGTAATAGGGTGAATGAGTGTACAAGACACATGTGCCAGGAGGATCCAAACACCCTCCTCCGTTTGGCCCCAGCCGCTGTGAACGCCCTGTGAGCACTAACACTGGCTCTTAACTCTATACAGGCTAAAGGTCACGAAAAAATGAAGTGACTTGTTTTTAATGTTTTTAATTACCTGTGTGATTTTAATTGTGTTTTTGGTGTTTGTTTTATGTGATGATTTGTGCCTTGTGTGATGTGTACTGTGAAGCGCTTTGTGTTGCCCTGTGTAGGAAAGGCACTCTGCAGATCCTGCTAAAGATTGATTGATTGACCTGTGTGTTCAGTACAAATGACCTTTTCACAAATGTCACTTCACAATATTAAACAAAGTGTTAAAGAAAACCTAAAAACTCGATTGAATCTATTTTTGTATAGCCCTAAATGCATGCTCTTGAGCTATAACCTGGTACAATGCATCTTTCCCATTGAGGTTAATGTTTATTATGCACTGTCCCTGTCACTTTAAAATAAATAAACTAAACTACACACGCTTGTCCCTTGTCTCGGAGGACATTACAAAGTTGTTGATTCGCCAACAACAGATCAAAGAATCAAAAAGTTCTAACACAGAAATGCAATAATGACAAACACATAGGAGCCATTGGTCCAAAGGGATTAGCAATGTCCGCAAAAATGCTAGATTGGTTTTGTCCATTCAAAATTATAAGGAGACTATTTACTTTTTCATTTCAAGTTTTAGAATGTGAATTAACATTTTTTGCAGAAAATATATGGTGAAAAAAGGAAGAACAGTAACTCCATATGCTACCACTAGAGGGAGTAAGTTTCATCATATATTCAAATCATTTTACTTGAGAAATTTCCTAAAGTAATTTAGAGGCAATCATTTTGTTTTAAAAGGCAGGAAAGTGCTCTGAGCATGATGTCATAGTGGTACAATGACCAATGACATCACACCATTACAGGAATGAGACAAGGGCTTTTAGACAGAAGGGGCGGGGTTACAGCTTTGTGGCAGAAGTTCCTGATATTCCCGTGGATGAATCTAAAACCAATACGTCGGCTGTAACATGGTTGAAAGTAAATGTTAAATATGACTCTTTTAAAGTAATATTTTACTCGGTCATGTGCAAACACTACCATGACTTTGAACTTTTTTCTGGAGTTTTTCCTGCTCTCTGACGGATGCAATCTCATATCTCTGCTATGCGCTCATGTTTGTTTTTGCTAATGCCGGCCAACCTCACTATCGACACAGGCACCACGCCAAGTCATGCTCTGCTGCTGGAACAATCTGCTGCTTTTCTAAGTGATATAAGACATTTAACTATGGTCAGACCACTGTGGAGGGTTTGAGCGGCGGGAAAGCAATGCAAGAGTCAACTCCTCAGAAATGACATTGGTTTATGAGGGCCAGTAAAATACATGTTTGGCAGTATACAGTTTAACAGGTGTGTTCTGTCTTTAGCTGCTGTGGACATCTGCTGCATTATAATAATACCGAAAGGACATTCATAAGACTGTGTCTGTGTAAAGAGACTATAAATGTACCACTGATGCCCATCTGACGTGACCTAAACCCCCTGAGCACTACTCATACTCAAGACAAACAGCTATATGGTACTTTAAAACTATATATTATGGTTTTGATAGCCACTTTAAGCCATAAACATTTGAACTATGTATAAAAATCTATCCAACTAGTTCCTCACTCTATTATTTGGCACGTTTGGCCTCTGTCACATCTTTAGATCAGATTTTTCAGACGGAAAAGTTAAAAAAGATCAACCCAAGGGGTCCAAAAGAGACAAAAAGAGCTCTTTCATCATTTCAACTTTTTTTGTTGGAAATTGGGACAAACACAATTTTTTTTTTTTTTTTACATGGTAGTAATAGCTGTATTAGTTGGCTTGTCCCTCATAATTTAACACATTACAATGATGTTTGTGATTGTACAAGATGCCTCATCCTGTCTGCGCTTTTCACAAACAACACTTGGACACCTGGCATGGCAAAGCTAGACCGCGAATGTGCTAGTTTGAGATGAGGCAAGCCGTTACCTTCTCACTGCTTTTTGTGTCAAACATATTCTAACAGCATTTATTTTGTTTAACTTGGTTGAACAAAGAAATTCTAGTTATGGTGGACCCTGGGAAAGACATAGACCCCACCAAACAAGTAATAAAACATGGGTTCAGGGACAAGGAATTAAAATACAGCCAAATCATCCTGCTGTGACTTCCTAATATCGGAGAGTGTCTTCCTAATTGACTGAGCATGAACCAGAGGATGATAAATGATGTGATGTTATCCTGACGTGCACTCTGCCATCCAACCCACTAGTGTGGAGCGGACAGCCTGCTCTCCAGACGATACATACACAGCCCTCTAGTTTACAGGAAAACAATATTCATTAGCAACATACACACAAACGCTAACCTCCACCCTGCCAGAGGAGGTGTCTAGGTGCATAACACAAACTCGCCCCCAGGAGGAGCAAACACAGGAGGAAATGTTCTTTTTCCACCGTCATCACTTTCTCTGCAGATATATTTAGAGGTTCGAAGTGTTCAGGTGCAGAAACATGCTGGTTTTACACACAAGCTGCTTTAATATCAGGTGGTCAGGATAGGTAGTGGTCACCTTCAGCATTTAGGCACACACACTCAGAATGCTATTATCATAACTCCCTCCACAGATCAGTGAGGTCAGTCTCTGTATTTTTGGTGATGTTTATTATATCTCTTTTGTCTTTTTCTAGTGGGACTGACCACAGATGACTTTCCAACCGTTATTTAACCAAGGCAGTCCCACTGAAACTCATATCATATTCTTTTAGAGTACTGTCCAGAGTGGTGGATTCTACATTGTCTGGAGGGAACCCAGTTATTTGGTATACAGCTTTTATTTATGGACATATGGTGCTGTATATTTGGGGGTTAAAATATATTGTGCAGTAAATTAAACAGTAATTAATAATCTGTAGTGGTTTGAAATAAATATGGCTAAAGTTTAGTTCTGTCTGCTGTTTATTTTTGCAGCTCAGGCCTCAGAATACATTGCACACCAAAAAACTGCTATTATTATCTTTTATTTCATTGTAACTCTATGGCACATGTGCCAAATGCAAAACCTACAGGAGCCTTTTAGTGGCCCCCACCGCTGAAGCTCCTCCTGAAACGCAATTAAACTCGCTAAATTAAAGCTGGGGTACGTACATTTTCCCCTTTCATTAACAGCTCCTGTTGGTTGTGCTCAAAAGTAAAAGGTTGTGAGCAAATCAAACATTTAAGTAAATTTGGTATGAATGACAATGTGTCGTTACATTTGATAATCTCATTTAACTTCAATTAGAGTGGATTTGAAATAGAATGTTAAAAATGCGATTAATTGTGAGTTAACTCACCATTACTATGCGATTAATCAACTAAAAAGTTTTAGTTGTTTGACAGCCCTAGATTCCCCAATGCATTTTACATTTGAACCCAACAAGTAATTAGACATAGTTAAAGAGATGTATTGTGCACAATTAGTGTCCAAATAAATCATGCAATAATGCAATCAACCTGCTGGGGTTTAACTATTTACCAAAAACTGGACCAAACAAACAGTCCGAAAATACCACATCCAAACTCATTTATAGAAAAATAAATCCCTTTGTCAAAATACCTTCATAATGTAAAAATGATCTAACTTTCCACTAAGGAAACCACCGGCCCCTGACAGGTTATTACACCTGTTATTATACATTTGTCCCTGACCAAAATGAGTTTGACACTTCTGCTCTAAAGCAACACAATGTGCTTCAGAATGTGTCATGACCACAGATGATGCGTCTGTTGTCAGGAATAGGACATATTTGAATTAAGAACATCGCATGAACACAGCCTATTGGTCAAGCATGCCTAGTTTCTAACACAACCCTAATGAATTCAGATGTGACTACAGCATGTGTCAGCTCCAAGCCAGGCATGGTTGACTGTACAACATGCCATATCCAGCTTTAGTCTGAGGGTGAAAATATCCAATAGGAACTCTGCAATCTGATCAAGCATTCTCTTACACGCTGGCACGGAGATGAGCTTGCCCACTGGCCAGGCAATGTCAATCAGCCTGCTTTCCACAAGCCAAATCCGAGGTGCGGCTTGGAAATGCCACTCATGCGTTTCGCTGGCAGGGCTAATCCACAGCAGCCAGTTTCCCCCAATTCAAATGTACTCTCTATATTCTGTGCCTTTGATTTTCATTGCGTAGGATTTTTTCCACATGTCTAATGGATCCGGTCCAATTTCCTTTCGTTCATACTCTCCTCCCTGAAGCGGCGGGTGTTGCTTAACAGAGAGAGGAGGAGGAGGAGGATGGTGGACACACTCACCTCCTCCGGAGGCCCTCAGTCCGACCCGGGCTGGTGGGTGGAGGCCCCCGCTGGTCCGGCTGGAGCCTTTGATGTTGTTGGGGGCGCTAGATTTACGCTGGAGGGACACAGACACACAGTAATCACAAATAGCTAAGGGTATGGATCATGGTTGTATATACTTCTCTACAACTAGCATTATCTGTAAATAGACAAGTAAATATCTACGTGTAATACCCAATCTCCCAGGGAACGTATTACCAGAAAAAGGAATTTATTAGTGGGCATTCTAACAAACATTAGCAAAGTTAGAAGTCTTGATGACAGTGGATATTCTATTCCACCTGGTCCTGGTCAGGACTACCAGAGCTGGAGGATTTGATTTGCATGTGTTGGTGTGGGAAACCAGAGCACCTGGAGGAAACCCTCCCAGACACAAGGAGAAATGTGCAAACTCAACACAGAGAGTCCTGGGCCGAAAGGTCATGGAATCAAACCTACAACCTTCTTGCTGCAGGGCAATAGTGATCCCCACTGAGCCATTGTGCTGCTAGTATTGTTTTCTTTTCAAAATAAGATATTATATAAGATACCTGAGGTAGGACATTGTTGGAAGACTGTAGTGTAGTCATAGAACCGTCTGAAAATACAAAATCAGGATTATTTTCCAAAAAAAAACACATTTTTATTGCCACGTAAGTAACAGGAGGTCACAGACTTGGAAATTGCTTTGGCTCAGTGCAACAGTCAAAAAGAGATAATAAAAATAAGAATAAAAAACACTTCTAAAGAATAAATTTAAATTTAAAATAGAGTTACAGTTACTATTTACAATATACAAGTGCACATGGTGCGCACAATGTAAGGTGACAGCAGTACAGTGAAGTAAAGTGACGTATGATGGGCAGTAAAGTGACTTTATAAAGGGCGGGGGGACAGGTTAAGAAGTGTTCAAGAGTCCAACAGCAGAGGGGAAGAAACTGTTCTTGTGGCGGGAGGTTCTAGTCCTGATGGACCGCAGCCTCCTGCCTGAGGGGAGTGGTTGGAATAGTCCATGTGCAGGGTGAGAGGGGTCGGCTGTGATACGACCAGCCCGGCCTCGAGCTCGGGCGACGTACAGGTCCTGCAGCGATGGAAGGCTGCGGCCAATCACTTCCTCTGCAGAGCGCACAATGCGCTCTAGTCTCTGCTTGTCCCTGACTGTGGCTCCAGCGAACCACACGGTGACGGAGGAGGTGAGGATGGACTCGATGATGGCCGTGTAGAACTGCACCAACATCTGTGCAGGCAGCTTGGCTTTCCTGAGCTGCCGCAGGAAGTACATCCTCTGCTGGGCCTTCTTGATGAGGGAGCTGATGGTCGGCTCCCACTTGAGGTCCTGGGTGATGGTGGTGCCCAGGAAACGGAAGGACTCCACAGAGGTGATGGGGGAGTCCATCACGGAGGGTGGGGGCGGGGGGGACAGTGCTCTTCCTGAAGTCCACAATCATCTCCACTGTCTTCTGGGCGTTCAGCTCCAGGACACCAGCCGGTCCACCTCCCTCCTGTAGGCGGACTCATCGTTGTTGGAGATGAGTCCAATGAGGGTGGTGTCGTCCACGAACTTGATTAGCTTCACGGAGTCGTGGTTGATATTTAAATAAATCAAACAAGATTCATCACAAATGATTTATTCAAAGGCACTAGGGTACACATAAAACATTCAAGGAGGGCTGCACGCATAGGCTGTGGCACTACTTTAACAGCTCATCTCTCTCTGGGCCACCTATGGATCCTATTCATGTGGAGCTAACGTGATAACATGGTCGTGTTTTGGACTTGAGAAAACATCTTATACTTCCTCATTCTCAGGAAAGACAACAGGGTGTAAGCCTTTTATAATATGAAGTTAATGGTTCATAAAGCGCCATAGGGGAGGTCTTGATGACATCTACATCACACAGCAGCGGAAATCAAAGTCCTGCATTGATTTCAGAAATCCAATTCAACAATCTATTGACTCCAATCAAATCTTACGCGCATACAACTTTACTATGGATCTGGGTCTGAATCAGGACAAAACCAAAGCAGCTATTATAATGTAATTAACTGCAAAGTTCTAAGTTCACCCATCCACTAAAGTAAGTAAGTAATGTTTATTTATATAGCGCCTTTCACAGACCCGAGTCACAAAGCGCTTTACAATTGTTTTTGGGCATTTGTCTCTCACTCCACACAGACATGGGAGTGAAGTCGCCAGGACACGGGGGCGCATGCCAGACCTATTATACATGTGTTTAGTGGTAGGGGAAACCGGAGCACCCGGAGGAATCCTATACAGGGAAAATCCACTCAGAAAAGTCCTGTTCCGACCGGGACTCAAACCCAGGACCTTCAAGCTAAGAAGCAAAAGTGCTATCCACTCAGCCATCATGCCACCAAGTGAATAAAGTAAGGCAAGGCAAGTTTATTTGTACAGCACAGTTCATATGCAAGGAAACTCAAAGTGTTAAAAAAGGATGCAGTACATTAAAAAGGTGTATATACATTGCCTTGCAAAAGTATTAATACACATTTTGTCATGTTTACAACCATAAATGTAAAGATTTTAATGTGATTTTCTCTGCTTTAAACTCCACAACCTTCTCCCTGACCTCTCTGCTGCTCCTTAACCTCCATGATGTTGTCTACTGACCAACACTGTCCAACCGTAGCTCTGAGGCCTTCACAGTTTTGTATTCATACTGAGGATAAATAGACACACAATAGGCCTCTATTTAAGCATCAGGGTGTGGACATTCTCCAGTCATTAGATTTTTTTTAAGGTAATATATTTTAATGCACCCTGAAAACAGCTCTATTAATACATTTCACTTTTCTATTTACAAAATAAATGAATAACAGAATCATGTATCGTGTTACTTCACAGTTGTCTGTTACTTGTGTGTTAACTGTCAGTAAAAAAAAAAAAAACACTGTAGCATGTTTCAAGGCACTGTAGCTGCATAATCCTTTGGTGCTATATCTAAGGGCAATTACAAGCACACTACATACATATATATACAAAAATATATGTAGCAGAACAGCAAACTAAGTGGGAGTCAAATGTAATTAAAAAGACATAAATATGAACCTTTTTGTGGCGGTGGATCTTGGTTCGGTGGAGGGACTTTGGTCTGCGCTGTGAGTAATAATTCATACGTGTGGTCCTCATATTCTTCCACCTGCTCTCCTCGCTCGTCAATACTGCTGTTTGTGAACAGGGCCTGAGGAAAAAGGAGGAACAAAGAAATAGAAAAGAAATACAACGTTTTGTAAAATATTGGATTCAGCTGACACAACTCAGTCACTCGTGTGAGATTGGAAAGGTATAGAGACCATAGAAAACAGAATCCCTCCGTCACTCATTGGGTAATATACTACTAATACTCTGAAACTGTAAGGACTGTAAAGACATTACCTCTGAGCTGACCTCCTCCTCTTGTCCCGCAACAGGATGGGGCAATGGTCCGAGTCGTTCTTTCTGCATGTTAAAATAGATTTAGTAAGTTTTAGTTGTTTTGCACAAATCACAAAGAGTATCGTACTATTCAGTCTATCAGATTGTAGACAGAGATGTGCAGTGATTTACGCCGCAGGTCGTCATCTCCCCCTAGTGGCCACTACAGTACTTGCACGCTAGTCATGCCAGAAGAAGTGAACTTGACAGAGTAAGTTCTGCACAGCTTTAACAAAAAATTAATATTATTAAGTACAATTTTATCTAGATAACCATTGCGATCACACTGCCATAGCTGTTATGAAGTCAAACACTTAAAACTTAATGGGAACTTTTTCCAAAAGCAGAGAAAACAATAAATATAACAGAAATACTCTTTTTTTAAATTCAGACAATCAATCTTTTTTGTAGAGCTCCTTTCATGCACAGGCAAAACACAAGTTATTCTCGTAATTGCCTATTTTTTGACTAATCCTTGCATTTTTAATCAGGGATAGCCACATTTGTATAATAAGGAAAATGTTCGATAATCTAAATAATTGCAGTCTTTGCAGCCCCAAAAATATACTAAATACTAAATATATTTTTATGTTTCAACAAATGATGGGGCTACCTTGAAAAAGGTATTAAAATAGTATTCATGAATTAATTGTACTGTTGTTAATATTGTTTAATTTTATTTTAATGTAATAAAAAACAGAAAACATAATCCTGATACTATTTTTTGTTTGGGCGGTTAGAGATTGTAGCTCATGCATATAAAACAACAATGGCCTCTGCCCTTCAGCTGAATTGTTATTAGGTCAACCACTATAACAGATTGAGATGCACAAAATACACAGAGATAAAGCAATAACTGTAATAACAATAATACTTCATGCTACGGACACTATTACAATAAAGCAGGGGAATAATCCCAGGGAACGTGGTCGTTTACTGCAAAGAGAATAGCGAAAGCCTTCCCACTGTTGCAAAGAATAAAATCATATTGGGCCCCAAATATTGAGCTCTTGATTATTGAGAGTTGAGTAGAGGAATGGTGGCAGAATTTGTTGTTAAATCTCAAAAAAGCAGGATTGTAGAAGTGGTTTGTGGGTTAACATCATTTGTGGTTCTGTCCGCATGATTCTCGTCAGAATATAAAAACAAAAGTGGAATATGTTATTGATACCAGGACTTTAAAAGTATTTAAGACGATTCCCAGCTTTCTGAAAATAAAATGCGTTTTCCACAGGGCCACACAAGTTCTAGTTTTATTTTAGGTCCCCTCCTTCCTTTCACCTAGTTTTATTTTATTGCTTTCATTATCGCTTTTGCTGCTCTTCCATTTGGCAGAACGACTAACTGGCTACATGGACAGACTTGGCGATCCAGTGTGAATCTAGTTATTGATGTACTTATTACTTCACTACTTTAATCATTTTTAATTGGTACAAACACCTCCCTGAAAACGTTTACGCAGCGTGATAAAACTCATGTTCATGGAGTAAATAGATTCTTTGACATTTGAGGATCTTAGATTGGTCTATGATGTAGACCCAGTCCTCCATCTGAAATGGTGAACTCATAATACAATTAATTACTGTCAGAGTCAGACAAGACAAACAAGAATTCTTCCTTACTTAGCCAATAAATACAAGCCAGACACTCACCTTCCCGGCCTCGCTGTCTGGCCGGCCTGAGTCGCGGTCAGAAGACTTGCCGCTGGTCAGACTGTCCAGAGAGTGACAGGACGTGGCTTCAAACAGAGCCTCATACGGACACTCCTCCTCTGGAGCCGGGGCGAGACCAGAGATCAGCTCTGTCATCCTCTCCAGGTCGCCTACCACCACACAACAGACATTACACACACAAAAGGATGATGTCATACTGGTGATCCAGACTGGTCCAATTTAATATCTACGTTATGTACTGGTTGCCGGACATACCCTGTAGACCAGGGGTGTCGAACTCATTTGGGTCAGGGGCCGAAAAAATAATAATATTATTTTCTTATTATTGTATTTTACAACATGGAATTACTCTAATGTGACATCTGGTTGATTTTATTGTTTGAATTTAACCAAAACGGGGCCAGATATAAAGTTAAACAATGTGTTTAACGGTGTGATGTGTTTGGTTAACATTTTAGAATATATTAAATGTAGTGGTTTTCCTGAGAAAATAGATGATGTATAACAGTCCTTGGTAGAACATAACCATCAATGCTGCAAGTTAAATATAATAATTGAAAATCATTTTATGGGCCACTAGAAGCCTGAGTTTGACGTATCTACAATAGACCAAGGACTTCTATGCATTAAATTAATGTATTTCCTTGGTCCTCTTGCTTTCACGTTTTATCTAGGGCTGTCAAAATTATCGCGTTAACGCAGGTTAATTAATTTTTTTCATTAATCACGTTAAAAAAATTAACGCATTTGACGCATGCCCATGCATCCCATAATAACACTCACAATGCCGCGGACACATGCACGTGTGTAAGACGGGGACAGAGCAGAGATTCCTCTGGGAATTCAAGTTTTGAAAGAATACACGCGTGATCGCGAACGCTTGTTGTTTCCTGTATGAGCTCTGCATGATGAGCTGCGGGCGCGACAGCGCTGCGTAATGGGATCATATCCAAGACCACGCACAGAACTATTACAGAACTATTCTCTAGTGTGCGTACGTGTCTTTGCACACAACATGTACAGCGCTGAAGCTGGACTGCGGAGCCTCAGTCTCCTCCGTGTCTTCTCCCTAAGCGCACTCACTAAATTAAAGCTGAGGTACCTAATTTTCCTTTCGACCATCAGTTCATGTTTAGTTGTGCCAAAAAAAGTAATGGTGTGAGCAAATCAAACAGATTTAATGACATTCTGCTTCTGACTATTTTGAAATGTCCCTCATCTGTAACAAACAATGGTTTTGGTCTGAGTCTAAACAGAAAGACAGAATGTTAATAATGTTAATTCCATTTTATATGGATTTATTGTTATAACAAACAAATACAGTACATATGTTCACTAAGCTGTCATTTATCTTTCCATTCAAACAACCATTTACAGAAAAATATGGCATAATTTTGCCAATAGTTTGAAATGCGATTAATTACGATTAATTAATTTTTAAGCTGTAATTAACTCGATTAAAAAAATTAATCGTTTGACAGCCCTAGTTTTATCTGAAAAAATGTGACAGAGGCTGGGAAGCATGCATGTGAAAACTAGTGCTCAAACCAAACTGTTCAGCGAGGAATTAGTTACATATATCTGATTATTATCTATGTGATTTGAAAGTTAGGTACCTCAGCTTTAATCTCACTACATTCTTTCTTGCATGCTGACAGTCTTACTTGTTTTCCGTGGACTCGGGGTCTCTTGTGGTGGGGGGATGGGCGGCGGAGGGAGATCTATATCTGGAGGTTTTCCTGACATGTGCCCTGGGAATTACAATAAGTATTATTACTTCAAATAACCACATTCAGTCATGCTTGAAAGTTTACATTCCCCTGGAAGAATTTTTGATGATATGATGATACCACTTTTTTTCACTCATTGTGGTTTTGTGAAGCCACATATTGTCAAATATAAATATATAAATATATATTATAATGAAAACAGAAAATCCTCTTTGGCCCTGATCAGAAGTCTCCATCCACCAGTTCATCTATAAAGGTTGGAGTCTTTTGTGGTTGTTGTGGATGAGATTCGTTATTGTGGTGGCACCCCCTGCATGTAAGAGACACATTGCACTAACTGGTTGCCTCGCTTCTGTCAGTGTGTCCCAGGGCAGATGTGGCTACAGTTGTAGTTTATCACCACAGTGTATGGAGTGAATGAATAACAACATGTGAAGCATCTTTGAGTGTCCAAAAAGCTTTATATATTCTTCTTCTTATCATTATTTGTTATTAAATGACTGTCAGGGGGTGTACACTTTCAAGCACAACTGTATTTGGAGAAAACGCACCTCGTATAAGAGCAGCGATCCCCCGGCTCTTCTGCGAGGGCATGTCCGTGACAATGTCCAGTGCGGTCAGGCCTTTCCGGTCCACCATGTTCCCGTCGATACCTGGCACATGTCACATTGGGAGGTCGGTTAAGAGAATGTTGCGGTGTTAAAAAACAGACTTCAGAATGACTTTCAGGTCGCAGCAATGCTAATAATGTCTGACCTGCCATGAGAAGCTTCTGCACAACATCAGTCTTTCCATATAAGGCCGCTTCATGTAGGGCACTGCCTTTCTCCGTCTGGGGAAACAACATGGACATACAACATACAGTAATGGTCAGTAGAACGTATAGACGTGAGAAAGAATCTGTACAGGAACAAAAATAACAGAATAACATGCAATTACAATAAAATAAAATAAAAACAATTTGAAAAGGGTTGGATGAAGCAAAACGCAAATGTTTCCAAACCCCCCTCAACCATTCGAACTTTTCTACAGACCATACACACACATACGGGCACGCACAGATTTTGTTTTTACTTGTTGATGCTCAGTACCAATGTTGATACTACAGAGAATTATTTACAGATACTCATTTTGCTCAATAAACTGTGATATTTAACTGAAAATAGTATTACTGGGGCTTTGTATGAATTTATAATTATTGAAAACATTTCAAGAAATGTCAAAGTTTGCCCAGTTTATGTAAATGTATTTAGGAGAAATAATTTAGAACAAATCTGTATATTGTTTCAATACTAGTTTTTGTATAAATTATAATCTGATTTTGAATACTTTTGATTAGTTTCTAAGTCACTGTAAAATATGTTAAAAAAGACTAGAATAAGTTAAAGTTACACTGCATCAATTGACAAAAGGTAATAATATATAATTAATGTGTGGACTACAGAACTGAACTTATTTGTTGCATTTTCAGCACTATTTTCGAAATTTCCCCACTGTGGGACGAATAAAGGAAATCTTATCTTATATTTTCGAGAAAATGTTATGTTTGTTAAGTTTTGAAAAAAATTGCAAAGCTATGTGAAACAACAAACGCAATTTGGAAATAGAACACTCATACTAAACCTATTTAAAAATACTACTTCATGTGAAACTGGCACAGATTTAGGTGATACCAGATTTCTTTTCAAACTAAAGATTAAACAAACATTTTAAGGGCCTGCTCCAGTAAAACATTTGTGGAAATAAAAGCGGTTTCTTAACCAGCTCACACAGCCGTGCTAATTGAAACCTGCAGGATGTGCGGCCAAAAGGACACAGCCAACACTCTTTTCTGGGTTCACATAAAAACCAGGACAGACTTGAAAGCACAGGCGTCTGCAGAGATGCAAGAAGCAGCTACACCAGGGAGGGCCACCAGGGGGAGTTGCACATCTTCACATACTACATGGTAAACTTAAAGCTGGGGTACTTAACTTTTGTTCTTCATAAATATTTTTTGGTTTTTTGTATCAACAGAAAGAGTCTAAACTAAAAGTAAAGAAAAGTCAAATTGTGAGATAAAATCAGACCACATCATGCTGTCTTCATCTATTAGAATGAATTTTCTTTTGAATACTTGTAAGAAAGAGCATTGTGAGTATTTGACGCTTTGGACTGAGCTGATTTTTTCTGCCAGAAAATGCTGATCTAAAGATGTAACAGGGGCCAAAAAGGGATGTGAACACCAGTGATAGAACTGTTCTACAGCCAGGATGTAGTTACAGTGGTTGGCGATGTGGCCAATGTATGCATTTTTAATTTGATAGATTATTTTAAACAAATATTTGGACGGTGGATCTCTAGAGCTGAGGATGTAGCACACATTCCTGCTTCCTGGTGAGTTTCCGTAAAAAGCACAGAGAGAGCTGACACAAGGAAGTGCAGATAAATACACATACACTTGTTTTATATGATTAGGACAACAATCAGAGCAGAGACTATTGAGTTCATACAGGTTGTATTATAATCCGTAATTTAATTGAAAACTTGAGCTCATTGATTCAGCTTGTGTATGAATTCAGGCCGTAAAAAGTGCAGAGTAGAAACTTCTCCAATCACAGAACGAGGCTGCGTCCTCTATAGGGGTGATACTTTCTCCCGCGATTCGATTATCGATATGCATTTGCCAAGTATCAATATCAATTTTGAAAAAAAAAAAAAAATGTTTTTTTTTTCTTTACTTTTTTTTTGTATTGGTATCAATACTTAATATATGGCTACATTACGCATCTCCATTCTATTTATCATGAAATAAAGAGTTTTTTAAATTTTATTTATGCCATAAATTGGCATATTGTATATTTCTGACCAATATATCAATAATCGTCATATCGTGATAAAATCGTTATCATAATATCGTTATCATGATATTATCGTTATTGTGAGCTTTGTATCGTGTATCGTATCGTATCGTGAGGTACCCTTAGGTTCCCACTCCTAGTCCTCTAGCCTCTACAGCGCTGCTAAACACTGTAGCATGTTAGCAGAATTGGCTATAACTCCTCTCGCTGTAATTGCAGACAGAGCAAAACAGCCCGAACGACACAACAGTGAGGAAGAGAAGAGGGAACTAAAGCGAAAACATTATCAAAGAAGAAATCAAGCCCGGGTGAACATAGCTAGCTTACATCGTATCCTCTGGAGAGACTTGTCTATGGGAGAGATTATCAGTGCGTTGCTTTTGTACCATTTCATCAGTGATTGTTGTACAGCTTACAAGAAGTTGTGCCCATTGCAATAATAAAAATAGAGGGCTCCGTGGAATGAGAGCGTAGGGGAAATGAGAAGCCTGTGAGGGAGTTGGGGGGCAGTGCTAAACAGTCAAACCTTGCAGAAACGTGCTTTGGGCTTCACGCTAAAAAACACCTCGTCGTTTAATTATGTGAGCAGTCTATTGGCATCATACAGTATAAAGTACTGCAAATGGATTTTATTACATTTTATTGTGGTATGAAAGTTACATACCTCAGCTTTAAGGGTTGAAGCTCTGTGCTTTGGTTCAGAGGGAAGTAATGAAGGGAAGTGCTGCAAGAAGCTGATCAAGTTGCCAAAGATGATTTTAGACTGAAGCACTGAATAAACTGAAGCTGAATTTTCACACACAACACAAAGCTGTTGGTGTTCATTGTAGGAAACGTGTTTGTGATAACTCCTTTTGGAGGTAAAACTGAATTTCTCCGCTGTGGGACAAATAGAGGATCTATTAATCTAAAAATATGATTATTATTTATTTGGGGCGGTACTAAAACAGATCAGGACTAATGCTCTATCAGAGCATAGAGTTATAGAGCATATTCACTCAAAGACTCAAACCCATCCATTTTCTTCCTCTTAATCAATTTTTGGGTCGGGGGGCAGCAGTCAGAGCTACACCCGATTCACAAAGCACCTGTACCTCACTGATCGTCCTGCAGGTGGTGAGTCCACAGGACAATGGCTGCTCTGTCAGTGACAGTATAGCCTTGATCTTTCAGTGGGAGCTTCGGGCAAGGACACAACGACAGCAGACATCAGTGGAAGTAGGTGGAGAAGGTCTTGTGTGGGGATTGAACCCACAACCTTCAAGGCTCAAAGGCCAAAGCTCTACCAACTGAGCCACTGTCACCCATAAGATAGAATTGGAAATGTTGGGTTTGATTCTAAGAGATTAATGGCTTGTTCATTATAGTATTTATATTATTGTATATAAATGTACTTGTGGCACTCAGAATGCTCCATAAAAAAGAACCTATACCATGTAAACCATTACCTCGTAGTTGATGTCCATGCCGGCGTCCAGCAGCACCTCCACCACATGCAGGTGTCCGTTGCGCGAGGCCAGGTGCAGGGGGGTGTGCTTCTTTGTGTTGCAGCTCAGCAGGTTGGGGTGGGCACTGAGCAGGAGCCGGACCACCTCCAGGCGGCCGTACAGCGCGGCCAGGTCCAGGGGAGTCTCAAACTTGTTGTTCCTCATGGTGGGGTCCGTGAGCTCCTCCAGAAGCAGCCGGACCACCTGCGTGTGGCCGTACTGAGCGGCACAGTGAAGCGGGGTCTCGTTATCGTTGTTCTGTTGGGTTGGAACGGAGGTAACAGAGACCATGTAAGTGAACGACGTGGTGAGAAACAAGACAGAGGGAGGAACAAAGCAATTCCAAATATTTTAGGAAAGTCTGTAATAATATACTCAATAACACTGTCAACAGGAATTGGTTGGTCGATCGCTAAAAACGTTTTAGATAAATATTGATATTTCTAAATTAGATACTATATGAAAGTAGTAATTTTGGGGGGGTATTTATTTTTTATTTATAACATTTATTCAACAATTAATAAATTAAATGTAAATTGATAATGTTATATTTCTGTTCAAATGGAGCTAGATAAGTGGCCAAAAGCATTTCTTTTTTACTGAATCGTATCAAATCAATAAATCAATATATTTTAGCAAATCATATGTATCTATTTATTGTAGTTATTATAAATTATAGAGTGTGCCTCTCTTTCCTACTGTTCTATAACTTGTGATGCAACACTGACATTTTCTCACTGTGAATCGAATAAAGAATCTCTTAATCTTAATCATATCAAATTGAAGATACAGATATAGAAGATACATAAATCCATCCCTATAGTAAAACAATTATGGAATTGGATTTTTATTGCGGTCATTGTACTGTATAATCTAGTTGTAATTAAAGATGTATTGTGTCGTGATATCATGAAAGTTTCTTAAAGTTGGGGTCATGAAATGTTTCTTAAAGTTGGGGTAGCTAACTTTTTCAAAATGAGGAGGAAAAAAAACTGGGACTAAAGCATTCCATTGGCCCAGTATCTTTTATGTATTTGCTCGTTTTTACCATGAAGGAACTCAACTCAATATTTAAAAAACGACTACGCAATAAACAACAGTCCACTCCCAACACTATTTGGAATTGCTTTTACCACCAGCAGTTATTTTAGATATTAGAAGGCAACACCCTTGAAATTAAAGAAATCCTGTAAAAACCCCCATAGAAAAAAGGTCAACCGTGTCTTGGTAAATGGATTAAGAGAGAGAGAGTTAGAACAGAACTGCAATTAAATAAAGCACCCCCAGTTAATGATTAGTCAATAACCACATCAGGAAAGTGAGCAACCACCACGACAGCACAGCATATGTTAGTTCATCATGTGGAGAGCTTCTGCCAGTCGCCTGTAACAATACCATATTTACAAGGATTCATAAATGCTGCTGATTCTTATGACAAGGGAACTGCTGGAGACCATTTCTGCATCAAACCCCACATCCTTGGGCAGTCATTAAAATGCACAGTATTCACGGCACCACTTCAAGTACATGTTGGCATTCTAAATTAGACAGAAGTAATGCTAAAAGAAAATAAAAGGCTTTAACATAAGGTGTCAAATGTTTTAATGTCATGGGCTGCTGTATCAAGAGTAATTTTGATACATTTTGTAACGTTGTTTTAAAACGCAACCGTCGTGTTGCTTATTTAGAGATAGTAAACTTGCTTATACAAAGCATTTGACATAACCACTTTTCTGGTGCTTAAAAAATGAATACATGTACATACTAGGGATACGATGGTAAGACATTTCAACAGTGGAGAAAAAGCAATAACCAGGCTTGTTGCACCTTTGTTATGCACTATATAAAATCAGATAATCAAATGATTGTGCCAGAGAAAGCCATGAAAATCACAAAACAATTTAAAATTATAAATCAAGTGCGTCATATAAATCTAATGCGTCAAACATTTTAATTTATTGATGACCATTAGGAAACTTTCTGTGCATAAATGTTGCCTTAATCAATAACTTAACTCTTCTCTTTAGGAATTGTACACACATAAATTCAGGCCAGGGATTTATCTAAGATGATTGATTGCTTCATAATTGACTACATTTGTTGAAAAGTATACTTATTATAAAGCTAGTAACATCCTCTTTGGGCAGATTTTTCCACAAATACAGAATAAATGAAAAGCCCAATACAGACAGCAGCCCATATTGATATTGTAGCACCAACTATATACTACTGATTATTGCCCCAACCTTATCACCAATAGAATATATTGTGTTGTTATAGAACATGTTGTAAATACAATGTCCACTTCTTGTACCCATGCAGTGGGAGGCCCCATCTCCACACTCTAAGATAATCTGTGTGAAACATGTTTCCAGTGCCAGCATGAAAATTGATGACAGAACATACTGGAAGAACAAGGCGCACATTTAGCTCACTGTCATTTTCACGGTTAAGAAAGGATTTTGAAACGTCAGCAGCTTCAACGTGCAATCACAGCCTCAGCTCTGTCATGAGAGCCGTGGAAAATGACAACTTTGGGGATCTATATTTACATGTGAAAATGAAATGGATCCGCAAAAAGGCAGATGGATAACAGCCAACATGGATCTGCGTGTTGTCAGACTTAAGTTACAGGATGTGTGGAGACGCCATCTGCACCACAGGGACAAGGCATCATGGGTCAAAAGCCCTGTTTCCACCAGCCCTACTCTCGGCTATTACTCGGCTCAGCTCTACCCTGATTGAGAGCGTTTGCACTGGTCTGGATTAACCGGTGCCAAGTACTATTTTAGTAACTGCTTGACCCTGGTCTAGGCTGAGCTGGGACTAAAGCGCTCTAACTGTCAGTGATTGGCCAGAGTACTGATGGGAAGCTATGGTTAACAAGGAATTTACACGGATACTGGTTTGTTGGTGCTGGGTTTTCTTTGAGTGGATAGCACTCTCGCTTCTCAGCAAGGTCCTGGGTTCGAATCTCGGTCGGAACCTTTCTGAGTGGAGTTTGCATGTACTCCCTGTGTCTGCATAGGTTTCCTCCAGGTGCTCCTGTTTCCCCTACCACTACAAATATGTAAAATAGGTCTGGCATGCACCTCCTGTACTAGCCCCGTTCCCATCACTGTGTGGAGTGAGAGGACAAATGCCCACAATTGTAAACTGCTTTGTGACTCTGGTCTGTGAAAGGCGGTATATAAATAAAGATTTCTTTCTTACTAAGTTGCTAGGATATGGTATCAGATATCAAAGCACAATGAAAACTCAACCAGATAGTGTTGGGGTGGAAACTAGCCTTAAGAGTGTCTTACTAATAGCCTGACACTACTTTGTTTTGTTTCGTCTACAAAAACTGATCAGAGAGAAAGCCGACAATATATGAACGGATGTCGAGTACAATTGCTATAAATGTCTCAACAGAAAAATAATGAATATATCTCTTAATCTACCATGACCCATAACTGATCCTAAATTCTTTACATGCAGTTCTTCTTGTTCTAACCATGTTCTGCTGAGTTTCCTTGTACTGTACATAGTTGAAGCTTTAACATTTGTAGTATCAGCTGATGTAAAAAGCAGGTCTCAGTCTGAATAAGTGGGAGGACAGCCTCACAAGAACTAGTTTTGTCTTTGCCGAAAAACAAATAATACCATAAAATGTAAATTAAGGAAATAGAGATGATAGCTCAAAAAAAAAGCATTGTCATTTTGTGGCGTTTTCTATGACATTGTAATAAGGTGTGACCCATGTATGACACACTTTGGGAAAGCAAAGTAAAGCAGTGGGACAAATATTTGTCTGTGAATGGGAAAGAAAGTTATTAAGATGAAGCTAAAACAGCCACATCTAGAATACATAGTAAAATGCACACGCGGTTGACTTGAGAAGACAGAAATATAGAGTGTTGACATCAGCATGATTCACCTCCTTCAGAATGTACCTCTTCCTCTGAGCTGAGGCAGTAATGCTTGCTTACCATAAAAACAGAACGTTTTCTTCCCAGAACATACGGTTAATATGTACATGCTATGTCTAAAAAATATATATATTGAAAAAATGCTATGCTCTGAAAATCATTTGTCAATAATATTACAATACTCAACTACAATATGTAGTATTTGTTCTAATTATGCTTGAGAGAGCTTGAGATGAATGTAGCATATCTTAAAATAATTTAGAGGCTGTGAGCTGGAAAATTATTTTCTCATACGCAGAAAGACGAAAGGATTTTATCTGTTGTGGTATGTTGCAGAATAATTTATGCTGTATTTTAGATGTGAAACACTATAGAATAGAAAATAACACTACATTACGCATACACTGAACCAACATTATTGCTCACACTTTTCCCGAGTTCATATAAAAGCTATAATACTCACTGCTAAACAGATGGTATCGAAAACATTTGACAATCCCTCCCAGCTCACAGATGATTCAACAGCATGAATACTGCACAGCTCTCACTGTTCTACCACTCTAAAATGTTCAGGTTAGGACATACACATTCAGATTCAGTTTTTTTGTGTTATTGATTGTGGCCTGCGGAATTTTGGTCCACTCAAGCTGAATACGGCAATCAAGAGAATCACAAACATGGCTAACTGGTGAAGAATGTCCCAACATAACACAGGCCACAAACACTCTACCAAGGTTTTGTGCTGCATGAGGACAAATGAGGTCACACCAGACACCAACGAGTTTTCTGACCTCCCTCAAAAAGCACCAGCTAAACGTCTCTCAGGAACCTTTGCACCCATCTAATAGCCATATAAGTATGCCAGACGTGCAAGGTGGGATGGATTGTTTCAACAAAGGAGTGATCAATGAAAAACATACAAAAAATATGCACAAGATTTGGTAAAGGTGGGTCTATTGGGCATATAAAGAGTTATATAGTGTTACATTGAACGCATGAAAAGTGGGAGCAGAAACAAAAGCGCTGCGTTTATATTGTTGAGTGCAATGAACAGGGTGAGCTGTTTCAAACTAAAGCCTTTCTCATCGGTGACTAAAGTGAACACTCATCCACACTTTGTCCTGCTTCATATTACAACCCTTAACTTGTGTGTAACTGATACGCCTCAGTTCCCCTCGCACATGCTCCACACCAGCCTATTCTTTTTTTCCCTTGTCAGAAATATCAGACGCTCAAAATCAGCCTAAAAAAATGGAAGGAATGGGGATGCTGCGTGCGCTTCCTGTGGGGCTGAAGAGACGTAAACGCGTTGTGACTGGCGGCCCGTGTCACGTGATTGGCAGGCCGGCAGAGGAGGGGGCGAGGCAGGGCTTATGTGGCCGCGTCTGCCCCTGCAGCAGCTGGAGCAGGGGCTGGAGCCGGTGCTGGTGGTGGTGCCAGGGTGGAGGGGCGGGCTCTGCAGCTGTTAAGGCGCGTGTGCCAAAGGGATCTCCGTGCTCACTGCACACAAGCCACACTGTCAGCTTCCATCGGATACATGCACTCACAGAGAGCCACAGACAGGGCAGCGTGGATATGTAGTGTTTGATACCCCTGTCACATTGCAATATTTGAAGATCTACAATGTAAAGTCTTAGCCAAATATTAAATTATTATGCTCCTGTGGACTCACCACCTGCAGGAGGATCAGTGAGGGGCTGGTGCTATGTGTACTGGGTGCAGCTCTGACTGCCACCCCCCGACCCAGAAATGGATTAAGGGGAAGAAAATGGATGGATGGATGCTCAAAATGCTGCAGGTTGAGTCCTGACTTGAACCAGGAAGTACAGTCCAGTTCTCACGTCTAGTGCCATATGAACCAACTCGGACTCTGATGAGCACAGGGACTGGCCTCTTGCTGGTGCCCAGAGTCAGGACTAAACATGGAGGGGAGCGTTTCCGATTCATGCAGCTCAAATTTGAAAAAGTCATCCTAAAAATGTGAGACAGGCTACAATGTTCAAAAAACACTTCGGTTTAGCTATGCCTATAAGTAAAGGATTGTATCACCTTACTATACAAATACACTTGCCTTGCCTAATGTTATATTATTGTGCAAACCAATCTTACAGTTTGACATCAAGAGAGCTCACTTCTCTGCAGATATGGAGAATATGGCAGCATACATTTTTGTTTTATCTATTTATTAGGATGGAACTGTGTGTAATAATAAACAGTAAATACACCAGGAAGGTTCCAATATATGGACTCAAAGCTCATGGGGTACCCAACTCTTTCCTTTCTTAAGTTTAATACTTTATTGTGTGCATCCCTACAGAAAGAGTCTTAGAAGTAAATTGTTTTGAACTTATCAGACTAACTGATCAGGGCCAAAAATACATGTGAAAACCAGTGATGGAACCAAACTATTTTGGGGGTGAGGATCTATATGGATAAAACGGCTCAATTTTTTGTGGTTTGAAAGTGAAATACCCCAGCTTTAACTTTCTATTTCTCAGGACTCTACGAGACGTTCTTATTACTAGAAAGACTTAGTTCTTTAGTTATATTTTGACACCGTAAGTGCTACATTAAAATGAATGAACAAATGCATAATTAATTCAATATCGTCCAATGTGTCTTTGAAGGTTATATCAAGTCGAGGAATAGTCTCAGAAACCTGGTCTCAAATTCAAACCAAAATAATGAATAGAGGAGAGGCATAAAAGGAGGAGGATTTTCAAATATTCACATTATTCATTGAAACCTTTGATGCAAAGTCCGTTCTTGTACTTACTCAGTGTCATGCATTCCTGCCCGAACAGACGTTGTAGCCCGGTAATAAGATGAATGTCTGACTGGCTTCCTGCCATGCACTATAATTCTCTATACAGGGAGACTTTCTCTCCTTTTACAGGAAAGATTACGACTGCCACACACTTTTCATTTCATTAAGTGGTCCATGCTATTTTAGAGGCACAGACAAGAAAATATTTGGATTTCTAAATATGCATAAATTTCCCCAAAACAAGAAGAGAAAGAATTAAAATCTTGAACACAAGGTCCCCTAGAGGGCGTTTCAAATCTGTGCCAGCTTTCTTGGCAGGTAAAGAAACTGAAGGACATAAATAAGACCTCTGCCATATTGTGAAAGCAAAGGCATTAGATGGTAATGAGGTGACCACGTCCAAAGCAATGACTTATTCCACTGCTGTCAGACCTGGAACATTTTGTCTGAGAAATTGTAGAGAAAAACGTTCCATTTTAGCTCCATAAAACATGTCCCTGTGCTAATGCAATGCAGGGCATTCAGAATAGAAAGTTGCAGCAGTGTCCGGACATATGGGTCACACACTTACATGAATGTATAATTGTGCAAGATATAGATTTGTTGAGGTTAAAAATAGGATATTTTTCCCTTCATAGTTTGTGCCCATTTCCCTTTGCTAAAGAAATATCATACCAACAAATTGTAAAAAAATTCACTATAATACAATATGCCAGTCTATATCTATCATACACTAAAAAACGAATGTTAGATTTCACCAAAGTATTTGAGGAACATACGGCTCTATGTCGTGTCTTGCCCAAGGACCCAATGACAGTATGGCACTGATACCTGGTGTACCCAGAGGTCTCCCATCACAGCACTAAGTGCAAATTGGTTGTTCTGACCAGCATCAGTTTAACAAATTAATTACCAGATTCAAGACCAGTACATTGGTGTACCTTTGTAACTCATCACTGTATCCCGGCTCTGCACAATTGTCAAGACTTTACCCATATCCTCAGGTGAGTTCAGTCTTAAACCTGCTGTTGTGATGTTGTGTGGGCTATACAAAAAAAAACATTTAATTGAATTTAATTTTAAATGACATATCTAATATAAGCAATAAATGACTCGTACATTTCATATGAAGGAGACTGTTGCATTCAGAACTAATAAACTAGATAGACAAATAACTATCTAACAGTCTGTTCAGGCTGTACCAGGCTCTTATTTAGAAACCTTCTTAACATTGAAAGTTCAGATTTTACCAACTGTTTTGAGATATATTTTTCTCCAATGTTGTATCAAAAACTATTGGATACTTGGGAATCTTTGCCACTGATATCACTGTTCCGAGCGTCCTGAGGCCAGTCCAACCAGGCTCAAACAGCAGTGTGCATTCGGAGCGCCATGATTGTGTTTTCTGCAGGCTGAGCTGGAAACCCGTCCTGACTGGCAAATCCTGGCATCCGCATACTATTTTTGAACATTGTCACATTACCCCCGCTCTAATCTTCTTAATGTTGTGCGGTGGTGAGGCCGGCTTTTCTTTAAAGTCTGCCTCTGCTTCCATAGATCCCCAATGTGAATCCTGCCCTGAGCGTTTTATACTCCACATGTGGATTATGTCGCGCTGCCTGCCTACACGGATTATTTAGGACGTCTTGACATAAACGGGAGCGGTGATGAGTGACGTTTTTGGGGCCACTACCTGGTTCTTGTGTCTTAATATTTAATGTGTTGTTATGAATAAATCAACGTGTGGAAAAGCAGTTTGCGGCTGTCCTGCTTGAGTTGTGGTCAGAGCAGTTGTAATACAAAAAATCTGTTGTTTGTGTATTTTTTTGCTTTTTCAAATTGTCTTAGAGCTGGACCTGTTGTTGTTTTTTTAAGTCCAATTCATTACATGCAGAGTGACATATCAAGCCTTTCTATGGCTCATAGCTTGCAAAAAACCTGAATATTCACCTATATACAGTTTCACCTGTATTAATATCAATGATGGGAGAATGATGTGACGGCTGTGGCTGTCATTGTGTCACTTTGCCCACATTACCAAGAATGAGTCTGGTGTGAGTGAATAGTCGTTGGCGGTCAGAGAGGCCGATGGCAGTGGCACAGATTACTACTGTACTACCACCATGAATAGTGTGAATAAATAATGCCATGTGGAGCATCTGTGAGTGTCCAGAAAATCCCAATAAAAACTAGATGCATTATTAAAATGGAAACAAAAAATCACTTATTCAGGATAAAATCACATCCAGAAAATCCACAGCAAACACTTTTTTGCACATGATTCAATCTCACTCAATGCTTATACGCGGCCACAAAATGTATTTAAGGTGATGTTTGAACACTGTAAAAGCTGTGGCAGCATCATCGATGAAGCGGTTTGGGACCAGTCAATATTTTACCCTGCAGCCGCCAGGACGGACAGCTCCTACCGATTTTATTTTTTTAAGCTTCATGCTGCAATGTTATTCAAAAATCAATTCTTTATTCAAACCTTTTCTCAGCCCATGACTGAAATGCTGACATGCACTTGCACTACCCATCACATCATCCCGTTCAAAAGTGCATTGTGAAGTATATAGAAGTGTCCCAAAGCGCAGCCCCAGAGCACAGCAAGCCACAGCAGCCGAAAGCAGAAGGAGCGCTGGAAAAGCATAGGGTTGTTGGCATAGCTCCGTGTACACACCTTGGCATTAATATAGGGATCAAAGGGCCCACAGCGCTTGAACTCTTTTTGGTCTACAGAGCTCTGAGGAAGACACAGGCGCATGATTCAAGGTAGAAAACAAGCAACAAACTGATCACAAATAAATGGGGTCAAGCTAAAATGGAGGGAAAACACGTTAACACACACGTCATGAGAAAAGAGAGGGAGAGAAATGGCACAAAATGAGATGCTGTATGTAAATGAAATGATGACGTTTTTCCTTTGCTGGATTAGATTGGATTACGTAATGTTCAAAGTGAGTCATTTCTCTGATGGTGCGGCTCTGCGTAGTGAGAAACATGATAAAAACGTGGTTAAAATGGTTAAAGGAGCAGGCACTTTGCAAACGCACATACAGTTATACATACAGAGAGGATTGTGTTAGACGTATCACATGGTGCGGACATGCCATGCTCAGGTACTGATTGGATATTGCTATGCTTTTATCCATCCATCCATCCATTTTCTTCCGCTTTATCCGTTGCCGGGTCGCGGGGGCAGCAGTCTAAGCAGAGACGCCCAGACTTCCCTATCCACACACACTTCCTCCAGCTCGTCCGGGGGGACCCCAAGGCGTTCCCAGGCCAGCTGAGAGACATAGTCCCTCCAGCGTGTCCTGGGTCTTCCGCGGGGCCTCCTCCCGGTGGGGCGTGCCCGGAACACCTCCCCAGGGAGGCGTCCAGGAAGCATCCGGAACAGATGCCCGAGCCACCTCAACTGGTTCCTCTCGACGTGGAGAAGCAGCGGTTCTACTCCGAGCTCCTCCCGTGTGACTGAGCTCCTCACCCTATCTCTAAGGGAGCGCCCAGCCACTCTGCGGAGGAAGCTCATTTCGACCGCTTGTATCCGCGATCTCGTTCTTTCGGTCATTACCCAAAGCTCATGACCATAGGTGAGGGAGGGAACGAAGATTGACCGGTAAATCGAGAGCTTTGCCTTTCGGCTCAGCTCCCTCTTCACCACAACGGTCCGATACAGCGACCGCATAACTGCGCACGCTGCACCGATCCGCCTGTCAATCTCACGCTCCATTCTTCCCTCACTCGTGAACAAGACCCCGAGATACTTGAACTCCTCCACTTGAGGAAGGACCTCTCCACCCACCTGCAGAGGGCAAGGCACCTTTTTCCGGTCGAGCACCATGGCCTCGGATTTGGAGGTGCTGATTCTCATCCCAGCCGCTTCACACTCGGCTGCAAACCGTCCCAGTGCATGCTGCAGGTCCTGGTTCGTTGGAGCCAACAGGACAACATCGTCCGCAAACAGCAGAGATGAAATCCTGTGGTCTCCGAACCGGACCCCCTCCGACCCCTGGCTGCGCCTAGATATTCTGTCCATAAATACAGTGAACAGAACCGGTGACAAAGGGCAGCCCTGTCGGAGGCCAACATTCACCGGGAACAGGTCTGACTTACTGCCGGCAATGCGAACACAGCTCTGGCTCCGGTCATACAGGGATCGGATGGCCCTCAGCAGAGGACCTCCGACCCCGTACTCCCGGAGAACCCCCCAAAGGACACCCCGGGGAACACAGTCGAACGCCTTCTCCAAATCCACAAAGCACATGTGGACAGGTTGGGCGAACTCCCATGAACCCTCGAGTATCCGATGGAGAGTATAGAGCTGGTCCAGTGTTCCGCGACCGGGACGAAAACCACACTGCTCCTCCTGGATCCGAGATTCGACCATCGGCCGTAACCTCCTCTCCAGTACCTTGGAGTAGACCTTACCGGGGAGGCTGAGGAGTGTGATCCCACGATAATTGGAACACACCCTCCGGTCCCCCTTTTTGTAGAGAGGGACCACCACCCCGGTCTGCCACTCCATTGGCACTGCCCCCGATCGCCACGCGATGTTGCAGAGACGTGTCAGCCAAGACAGTCCTACAACATCCAGAGACTTTAGATAATCAGGGCGGATCTCATCCACACCCGGAGCCTTGCCACCATGGAGGCTACCAACCACCTTGGTGACCTCAGCCAGGGAGATGGATGTACCCGCCCCAACATCCTCAGCCTCTGCCTCTGTAACAGAGGACGTGACGGGGGGATTGAGGAGAACCTCAAAGTATTCCTTCCACCGCCCGACAATATCCCCAGTCGAGGTCAGCAGCTCTCCACCCGCACCGTACATGGTGTTGGCAAAGAACTGCTTCCCCCTCCTGAGGCGCCGGATGGTTTGCCAGAATCTCTTCGAGGCCGACCGATAGTCATGCTCCATGGACTCTCCGAACTCCTCCCAGTCCCGGGTTTTTGCCTCTGCAACAGCCCGGGCCGCGGCACGCTTGGCCTGCCGGTACTGGACAGCTGCCTCAGGAGTCCCCCGAACCATCATGGCTCGATAGGACTCCTTCTTCAGCCTGACGGCATCCCTTACTGCCGGTGTCCACCACCGGGTTCGGGGGTTGCCGCCGGGACCAGCACCAGAGACCTTGCGACCACAGCTACGAGCCGCCGCATCGGCGATTGAGGCAGAGAACATGGTCCACTCGGACTCCATGTCCCCCTCCTCCGCCGGGACCTGGGAGAAGCTCTCCCGGAGGTGTGAGTTGAAAGTCCGTCTGACAGGGGGCTCAGCGAGACGTTCCCAGCAGACCCTCACTATACGCTTGGGTCTGCCAGGTCTGACCGGCTTCTTCCCCTGCCAGCGGATCCAACTCACGACCAGGTGATGATCGGTTGACAGCTCCGCCCCTCTCTTTACCCGAGTGTCCGAGACACGCGGTCGAAGGTCAGATGATACGACAACAAAGTCGATCATCGACCTCCGGCCTAGGGTGTCCTGGTGCCACGTGCACTGGTGGACACCCTTGTGCTCGAACATGGTGTTCGTGATGGACAAACCGCGACTGGCACAGAAGTCCAACAACTGAGCACCGCTCGGGTTCAGATCAGGGGGGCCGCTCTTCCCGATCACCCCTCTCCAAGTGTCACTGGCGTTTCCCACATGGGCGTTGAAGTCCCCCAGGAGAATAACGGAGTCCCCGGGCGGTGCACCGTCCAGTACCCCTCCCAAGGACTCCAAGAAGGCCGGGTACTCTACACTGCTGTTAGGCCCGTAGGCCGTCACAACAATGAGAGACTTGTCCCCCACCCGGAGGCGGAGGGACGCGACCCTCTCATTCACCGGGGAGAACTCCAACACGTGGCGGCTGAGATGGGGGGCAATGAGAATGGCCACCCCAGCTCGCCGCCTCTCCCCGCGGGAAACTCCAGAAAAGTGGAGCGTCCAACCCCTCTCAAGGAGTTGGGTTCCAGAGCCCAAGCTGTGTGTGGAGGTGAGGCCGACTATCTCTAGTCGGTATCGCTCAACCTCCCCCACGAGCTCGGGCTCCTTCCCCCCCAGTGAGGTGACGTTCCACGTCCCAAGAGCCAGATGTTGTGTGTGCGGACTGGGTCGCCGAGGTCTCCGCCTTCGACTGCCGCCCAGTCCTCTCTGCACCGCTTCACCACGGACCCCTCTGCAGGTGGTGGGCCCACAGGAGGGACTGCCCACGTCATCCCTTCGGGCTGAGCCCGGCCGGGCCCCGTGGGCTAAGGCCCGGCCACCAGGCGCTCGCATACGGGCCCCGACCCCAGGCCTGGCTCCAGGGTGGGGCTATGCTTTTAACAAACTCTTATTTTACTTTTACTGGAGAGAAATGTAATGCCATAATTGTGGTTTTTATATCTCAAAAAATAAAAAGGTGAATTGTTTCAGTGATTCAAGTCAAGAGCAGCAGTTACGATTCAGCAAAAGTGAAGCCAAGCTGCAGTTTTTCTTTACAATTATCATATCAAAAGCATTTTTTTAATTTTTACCAATCGCACATTTTGCATCAGAACTGCAGAACGATTGACAAAATTAAAGTTTTTGTTTACGTTTGATGTGGTTTTCTTTTTTCAGCAAAAGAAATCTTTATTTTGTGATATCATTTCAATAAGATCAACCCACGTTACTAAAAGTTACTAAACTTAACATACTATAAAAAACACATATTCTAGTATATTTTTTGCAGCTAAATCTGCGTCTCTCAAGTGGATATGTTAGAGAAGCTCTAGTCTGTCTGAGTTTGGGAGCGTTCAAATCCAGCTCAAAAAATGTCTCTATCTCTGCCATTTGAAAAACAAATGACCTTTACGTTACCCAAATCTCTGCTATTTCTATATTTGGAAGAAGGACTACTGGCTTACTAAGACATCGGACCACTCTGAATCTCACAAATCTCTCAAACAGCACACAGCAAACAGAAGCTGACACAGAAAAACAGCAGCCAAACCTGTTCGTTGAGCTTGGGGTGCGAGGGCCCCTGGTGAATGAGTAGCCGCACTATTCGCTGGTCCCCTTTCCATGCGGCTAAGTGCAGCGGGTAGCAGCCCTTGTTGTCGGCGATGTTGGTCAAGGCCTCGTTCCTGAGCAGTGCTTCCACTACCTCGCTGCGCACAGGGATCGATATGTGAGATCGAAGGAGAAATAAAAAGACCACAAAGTAATAAATGCACCGTGGATGGCTTCATGTTCCCCGTGGGACAGCTGACAGCCGGGCAGGTCAGTCAGTGAGAGCGCTGATTTACCTGTGTCCATTGAGAGCCGCGTGGTGGAGAGGAGTGTAGCCGCTGCTGTCCACACAGTTCACGTTGGGGCCTCTCCAGATGCTGTTCAGAAGGAAGAAGAGCTTGTTAGACTTTGGTTTTTTATATTTGCTAAAAGGTTTCTACTCTCAAAATATAAGCAATTCAATTCGATATATTTTTGTATAGCCCTAAATCACAACAGTTGTTATCTCAGAGGACTTAACAAAACCATCAAATTTGCCAACACAGATCAGATAATCAAGCAGTCCAAACACAAGAAATGCAATGATGAAACAACCATTGGTCCATAAGTGGCAGATGAACAATATCCATAAATGTTCTCATGACCACGGTCATTAGTTAGACCCTCCTGCATCAGCAAGGAATAAACTCTTAACAACCCCGTGGGAGAGAAGGAGAAAAACTAGCAAACCAGTATAATAAACAAAACTGTATGAATATTCTTTTTTTATTTTTTGTTTTTATTGAAAATAATGTCTTAATTAGGAGCTGAGGAGCTCCGTCTTGTACTGAGGCACCCTCAGTACAAGAAGGAGCATGGTAGGAACTTGATAATCCTGTAACATTGATTATTGTCTTTAACGAAGGGACCGGCCAATATATCGATTTGTCTTAACAAGACATCTGTAATTTTTGGAGATTGCAGAAAATATGTGAGACAGACTTCTCCTCTGACAGCGTTCAAACCCGGATTGACAACAATTCTGTTGCATTCAACTGAAGGACTGCCTCTTCAATATTTTTAATACACTGTGATTATTTCTGATTTGAATGCCTCTTTTGATTGGTTCTATATTGCTCCTTAAGCACTTTAAGTTGCATTGTGTATGAACTGTGCTTGCCCTACCATGAACCCTGATAATTAATAATGTCTAATAGTGATGCAACGTTAAGATTTCTGTTTGCCTGAAATTATTGCAAGGATTACGTTGTCCGGAGCTCCTTCTTAAACATTTTTCGTTTTTGAGTTTGTTCTCGTCCATCAAGTTGACACACAGTAATACAATTTTCCATGCCATGGTAGAATAACAATTACAACATATACAGTACATAGGATTAGGCCAGCATTTCTCTTGACATCATGATTTAAAGAGGAACCTACACAAAATGTCCAGATAAAAAAATAAAGGTCTTCACCCAACCACTGACCATAAATGTGAAATTAGATATTCTGCCAGGATGAGAACACATATCTGCCCCTGTACACACAATGTTAATTAATATTGTGTATGTACACTTATGAGCACAACCAACACTATTGCACTCAACCAAATGCATCCAAGTACAAACGAAGCATGAAGAAGCATCACTGAAAAGTACCATTTACTCAAAGCTCTCTAGTAACGTTTGACACGTTCAAACGTTCAAACGTTCAAACGTTTGACAATCCTTCAAGTTTAAACTATAAAAAAAGAGCTTTTATATGAAGTGCTGGCCAGAGTCAGGTGGTAGTGGTTTCCATTTTGGCAAGGCATCCTGGTATGTGTCAAACTAAGAGCAGGGAGGGAGGGTAGCTAGGAGGATGGAGCAGCTAAAAGATGTTGAGATGTGAGAAAGCTTAGCACACTGTAAATAAATCATGTTGAGGAAATCCCAGAACTGGTGAACCAAATCTAAAGCAGAATTTTATATTGGCGAGAATGGAGGCCAGCGGCTCAGACCGAGAAGCATGAATCGTCAAATGGATCGATCCAGGGAATATGTAAGATCAGAAAAGTTGCAATGTATGTAAGCAATAAAATGGAATGTGTGTGATTGAATGTGTTTTAAAAAATGTATAATCCAGTAAGATTTCAATTATGGAAGCAGAATATATCAAAAAAAAATATTAATATTGCAATAATGGAATGTGTAATATGGATATTGCAAAGGTGTGTAATAATTGTATGTACAAAAAAATCCTGTGTTTTTTTCATGCATAAACTTTGCCTTTGCACACTGAGTCTTGGTAAAGTAATTGGAAAAGAATGAAGCACAACGTGGCACTTTTTGGCACTTGTTTTGTTTTGTCATTCATTGCTGATGCAGGAGGGTCTAAGGACAGTGAGGATACAGACATTGGTCATCCTGCTGCTTATGGACCAATGGCTCCTATGTGTTTGATAATGCTGCATTTCCTGTGTTCGAACAGTTGGATTCTCTGATATGTTGTTGGACGAATTGACAACTTTGAATTGACAAGATGACTGCAGTTGTGATTTACAGCAATACTGAAATAAATTGAATTGAATTGAAGAGTGTATTGAGTTATAGTTATATTAAGAGAATAGTAAGTAAGTAATCTTTATTTATGTACCGCCTTTCACAGACCAGAGTCACAAAGCGGTTTACAATAGTAGGCATTTGTCCTCTCACTCCACACAGAGATGGGAGTGAGGTCGCCAGTACAGGAGGCGACCTATCCTAATTTGGATATATCTAGTTTACTTTTATGTTGAGAATGATTGTGAAATATTAAATGACACTCCCTTGTGATCACTGAAGATGTGGCAATAGACAGTCACAGTGGACCCATGGTGATGTGTTTTGAAATACTTCGTACCCCTACATCCATCAATCAATCCATCCAAAGACACTGTGTAATATGCTGCAATTACACAGCGAGAGGTGTCTCATTAAGCGAGAGCCTCCCAGGGCTCTATGGACAACAGAACAATGGAGATGAACACAGACAGGGACGGACCAGACGCTCACACTCTCTCACAGTGCAATCTCAATTTGGCTGCGCCGCTGTACTGTACATAATGATGTGGCGCATCAAAAGCAGGGCGTTCAAACAGGATGTAACGCTATGGGAAACTAGAGATGGAGGAAATGGGTAGCATTGATATATTGTGTCAACAGACAGTAATTTAGGAGGCGACTGACTTAGCGATGATGATAGTGTAAGGCTGACTTGCTGATTTGAACATAAGCTAACTGGAGCCATAAGCTAGCTGGAGCCTGTTTTCTTATATGGGCATCTCTTTGACGTGAGCTGAGAGCCATAAAAGGCGCAGACGTGTTGCTAAGATGGTTCCTAAGGTAAAATGGAGATTCCCCTTGTGATTGAAGGCATCTGATTGGTCAATCCTTATATGGCTGGCTCATATCTAGATTTACAAAGACAATGTCAAAATATAAACCACAGGAACATAGAGAGCGCTAAACCACAGATTTCTTAAGCCCAAAATGGTGAGTGTGACACAAACGGTTACTGAACTAGAGGAGTTTATTTTTCAATGCAAGTCAATAGGAGAGCAAGTTGTAGCAAAACGTTGTCCATGGGCACATCCCTAGCGGGTCAGCATTGTCCATCTGCATACAGTCTATGATTGTGTCGTGTGAAAGTTTGGGCGCCTAGGATTCCAGTTCCCACGATTTCAAAGAGTGACCCAAGGGCCCACAGTCAAACAGTTATTTGTTTACATTTGAAATTATATTTAAAAAATAAATGTCCTCGGCTTGACTGTTGTTCACTGTAATAGAATGTTTGTTGTGGGGTGCCCAAACTTTCAAACTCAGCTGTATTTGAGTTAGCAAAGGGAAAAATGTGAGAGACAATTAGCATCTCCAGCCAGCGTCTCACCGGGTCTGGGCAGAGTCTCAAAGATCAAAGCTCAGACCTCTGGATGTTGCCCCAGATTTATAGTTATGCAACAGTGTGCAGCAACAGTCCATAAACAAATGAACATTACAGAGAACAAGTGCAGAGCTTCAGTCAGGCATGGATCACCAGAGCAGAGGGATGCAGGCCCTTGCATAAGAAGCAGAAATAACACAACTAGTTACTCTTCAAATCTGTCAAAAATGACTGCAGATTTAAAACATGCAGGTGTAATCCTTATGTCAACTATAGAGTTCTAATCCTCCAATTAGTGTGGTTACTTCTATTATTGAATGGTAACCAAGACATATAAAATTATGAGATGAACGGCCACATTATCATCAAGAACATTACACTAAAAATATAACAATGAGGATGTCTTCATGTTTGTGATTATGGCACCACACTCCTCATGCAGCGGGCCCCTAACGTGGCGGTGATTTGTGCGGTGTGGCACCCAGAGTCTGAGTCACACTTCATCCTCTTACTCCAGCGGCCCGACAAGTGCAGCTCACTGAGCTCATGCCCCGGCCCGCTCTGGGAGGGGGTCTGTTCATGAGAACGGACCGAGGAATTCCTATTTGAAAGACTGTGCTAATCCTTAATTTCCCTGAGGGAATATCAGCAGTATGAAGTTGAAAGAGATTCTGGAGAGCTTTATCATTTTAAGCCTGGTCTGAAGCAGCGACAGAGAACAGTCTTTTATCTATGTTACATTTAGAAAATGTGTTTCCAAACTTCCACCTCAAGAACAAACTGAGTGGGAGCAAATCAGTGGGTTGTTTTTTCACATTTCAATAATGGTATGGTAAAGTTTCTGTTTGTGTTAGGTTTTCTTTGTCTGACAGCAGCATTGCAATGAAGCACGTGACGTGTCCAAGAAACCCAAGTAAAAACCCTATTGTGCCCAAGCCAGAACAGAGCCTCCAGGTGCAGAGCCGGTGTCATTTAAAAAGACTTTCCAACGGCATGTTGGAGCTGTGCACACAGTGGATTAGACTTGTTCAGGGCACAGTGCCCAGTTCAGACTGGCACTCGTCAGGCACAGGACAGTATTATTATAAGGCACTCTGCACATCGCTGTGCATGCGGACGCTCTACTGCAAACATGTCACTTCCCGTAAACAGTGTGAAAACACCGACTTGGGCAAATGGCTAATAAGGGTGCTAACACAAGATGTTGTTTCATATGGAAGCTTTTTTCCATTCTGTGGCATCTATGCTATCCGGCCAATAGTGGCTTTTCCGGCCACTACTCTTTATAGTTTTCTTCAGACAGAGAGCTGGGCAGGCCAGTGCATGATGATGTAGCAGGTCTGCTTCCTGTGCAGGCCTGCTGGGGCTGGGGCTGGGGTTGGGGCCCAGTGTGTTTGTCATTTGGAGAGCAGTGAGGCCCAGCAGGTGGTCTCCAGACGCACACAGAGTGAGACGCCAACACAAAACAAAAACATGCACCAATCTGTACTTAGTGACC